AGGGAAAGATTCAGGTCTGGGAGAGGAAAGAATAGGCCAGGGAAAGAAAAGGGCGAAGATGAATGTTGAAACTGTAAGAAAAAAGGTCATTTTAAGGACTGCAAGGCTCCAAAGGTTGATGGTGGAGATCTTGATAAGAAACTCTTTACAAATGTCTCCAGAGATGAAATCCAAGGTGGCTTTCTAAATTTATTTATAAATAATATTGAATCTTGGATAGTAGATTCAAGAGTTTTTTACATATATGTCCCAATAAGGAGGTGTTTAAAACTACATTTAGAGTGATCCAGGAAAAGTGTATTTGTGAGATAAAAAGGCCTGTATTCTTTTTGGAATGGGTGATATGGATATCAGGTTGCCTATAAAATAGTCTGAAAGCTCAATCAAACTAAATATGTTCATGTTTATAGAGAAATTTGATTTTGGCGAGTCTGCTTGCAAGGTCGGGATATATGACTACTTTCACAAGTGATTCATGGAAGGTGACCAATGAGATAAGGTGATGACTCATAGTGGCATTGAAGACACTCTTTACCTTATCAATGAGATATTTGAATCCATTGATGTAGCCGAAACAAAGTATGATGCAAGTCTTTGGCACATCAGATTTGACTATATGAGCTAGAAATGTATGAAGTCTTTGTTTTTTAAGAACGAGCTTTATGGTTTAAAGTTTATAGAGTTTGATTTTTGTTAAGATCGTGCCCATGAGAAGCAAAAAAAAGTTACTTTCTTCAATTGTGGGTTAAAGGTGAAGTCCAAAAAGCTGTAGTACATACTGATGTGTGAGGTCTTACTCCAATTTAGTCTATTGGAGATTTTTAATACTTCGTCACCTTAATTGATGATCACAATAGAAAGATATGTATGTACTTCTTGAAACATAAATCTGATGTATTTGATGTATTTATGAAGTGAATGACTATGGTTGAGCATGAGACAGTCTTAAGAGGTTGAAATATCCTATATCAAATAAAGATGGCGAGTATCGTGATCAGAAGTTCAAGAGTGTTTGTGAATCAGAAGGAATCAAGCATAAGATCACTATTCCATTGAGACCAGAGTAGAATTGTATGACTTAACGCATGAACGGAACCATGTGGATCAGAAGGAATCTAGCATGAGTCACTAGTCTAATGACACTAGAGCAGATTAGTATGACTTAACGCATGAACAAAATCATGACAGAGTGTGCCAGGAGTATGAGATTGCATGCAGGCTTGTCAGAATATTTTTGAGTAGAAGTAATGAACATTGCAGTTTATCTTATTAATTTTGGTCCGTTAGTACTTTTAAATGAAGGTTTACTTGAAGAAGTCTTGAGTGATACAGAGATAAATCTCTCATATGAGAGTATTTGTTTGTTCATCACATGTTCATATTGATGCGTGATCTAGAAGTTAGTTTTGTAGTCAATTGCACTTTCATTGGGTATGACTTAGATGAATTTGAGTATAAATTTTGGGATTAGTAGAAGCAGAAATTTATTAAAACCAGTGATGTTACTTTCAATGAAATGAAAATGTACAATGACAGAAATAGAACTCATGATTGACCATCATTTACTTTTGAAGAGTCTTTCAAATATATTGAGATAGAAGATAATGATGATTTGAAAGATGGGGAAATAAGAGATGCTTAATCCAATGAAGCACATCAAGTTCCTCATTGAGCTGCTATTAAAGTTAGGAGGTTTAATAGAGCACACGATGGATATAGTGGTATTGTCCTTCTTTGTAATATATTTTGTTAACTGATGGTGATGAACCAGTGAGCTATGAATGACCTACTCAAGTTGAAGATTCAAAAGACTGAAAGTTTGCCATTGATGAAAATATACAATCACTAAAGTCAAATCGGACATGGGATTTGGCTGAACTACTACATGACAAAAAAAGTACTGCACAAAAAGTGGATCTACATGCTGAAAATAGAGTTAGATGGTAACATATACTACATGACAGGACTTGTTGTGAATGTTTATAGCAAAAGGAAGAAGTGGACAACATAGAGATATTTCTCTAGTAATAAAGGTGGCAACTTTCAAAGTTGTGTTGAGCTTGAAAGTAGAGAAAAATCTACATCCGGAGCATATGGATGTGAAAACAACTTTTTTCATGGTGACTTAGAAGACGAGCTGTATGTGGTGAAACTATAGGGATACGAAGTTCTAGGAAAAGAAGGCATGGTCTGCATATTGAAGAAAAAAATTTATTGTTTGAAGCAACCCCCAAGGCACTGTTACAGGAGGTTTGACATGTTTATGTCAGACAATGAATATATGAAGTGCCAAACAGATCGCTATTGCTTAATAAAAAAATGTAGTAATTACTCTACAATGCTTATATTGTATGTGAATGACATGCCGATTGCATGGGGAAATATGAAAAAGATCAGGGACTTGAAGGAGTAATTATCAAGAAATTGAGTTGAAGGATTTGGGTCCAACCAAATAAATCTATGTTTTGAGAGTCAGTAGGGATAGGAGTGCATGTATAGTGAAATTTTCTCGGGTAGAATATGTTGAGAAGGTTCTACGTATTTAACGTGAGTGAAACAAAACTAGTTGACACGCCCTTAGGTAGTCATTTCAGGCTATATAAGGAATATCACCCAAATCTGAAGCAAAACAAGCACAAATTGAAAGAACTCCATATACTTCAACAGTTGGAAGTTTGATGCTTGCGATGATATGTACAAGATTAGATATCACATATGCGGTGTGAGTGGTGCGCAGGTATATGGGTAATTTAGGAAACATTATTGAGTGACAGTGAAGTGGATTCTTAGATACTTGAGAGAAATAATCAACAAGACACTTTGTTTTGAAGGAGCATGAATTAATCTACAGGGATATGTAGATTTAGATATGATAGGTGATATTGATGGTTGAAGAAGTACAATATGGCATGTCTTCATATTGGGGAACAAAACAACTAGTTGGGTCTCCAGGCTATAGAAGATTGTTGCATTTTTAACTACAAAAGCTGATTACATTGTTTGTGTGCTTCTTTTCAATTATTTTGTTCTTGATCTCTCGAATCGATGTTCCACATTTATCTTAATCCCATAACAGTTTAGCCTATGTTTGAATGTAAAATGATATTTTATTGTCGCACATTAGAATTTCCTTTTAATTTTTTTCCTAATTAGGATATAAGTACACTTTAAATAGAAGATAAGAATCGTACAACCAATTACTGTGATTTTATATTTACAATGATTAATCCTTCAGTCATTTCTATGGTAATTGTGCGTCTACATTGGATAAATTGAAGTTTACTTCTTGCAGGGGAGCTTTCTGTTTTTGTAAAATTTGTCAAAATTCTTACGAAGTCCTTGCTTCCTCTACCTGATAAGTATCATGGTTTAGCTGATGTGGATAAACGTTACCGTCAAAGGTTGCTTTCTTTTCACCAGTTTTATTTTGATATCTCTTTTCATTTTATATTTTCTAGTTTTTGTTCGGTGAAATAATGATGAGACATTTGAATATGATATGATTAAGTTATATATTTTATTTATTTTTGTATATTTTCCAGCATTCAATCCATTAAAGGTTTGTTTTTTCATTTGGAAGAAACTTTGGAAGTTTCTTCTCATTCTATGGATGGAGAATTTTTCCCTAACTTGTATGAGATATAGATACAGATAGAGATACAAGAACTATTTATGATGTTTATTTCTATATTATTTAGGCTATGATTTGAACAATGTACTAGTTCTTTTTATGAGGCGTAGGGGAGTTTATCTGAGGGAATTTCACGTAATGTTGGTCATTGGCAAGCAACTTACAATCTTTCATGTTGCCACATGCCTTGACCTCCTCAAGGCCACATTTGGTGTCCTAAAACCTGTCGTAATCACCATATCATGTTACAAGTTATATTTATGACGTGGTATATCACATAATTTTTCAGAACCATTTCAGTGAAGTTCCAATCTTCACCAGGAATGAATGGAGATTAAGTATTCATAAAGCCAACCAGGTTAGGGCTAACAATGATGGCGATGAAGATGTAATGCTGCTTTTATGAGAGAGTTAATCCTACAGTTGTTTATATCATAAGCATAATTATGAACCCCGTTTTTTTTTTCCCGCCTTGAAACTTAAACTTCTGGATTGCTTTGAAGCTTCCCAGCTTATGTTTTTTCAATCCTGAAGCATAATGGATCTTATATAATACCATTCATTACTACATATATTTTATTTCTAAATGCCATTTGTTTGATTTGTGTTAGAGGAGTTACTTTCTTTTTTGGGTTGTTCTGCCGTCATTATTTTACTTTATTATTATTATTTTCCTGATAGAGCATTGGAAAAGCTGTCAATTCTTTATTTCTTGTTCTTGCTGACAACTGGATAGAGCAGAGAGAGATCGAGAGGTAGAGTGGAGAGAGAAAGAGATCAGGTAAGGGTAATTAAACTCTCAAACAGGGGTTGAACTTGGAAGTAACCCTGCTTTCATTAAAACATAAATAAATTTGTCCCTTAAAGTTTATACAACTTCTTACATAGAATAGGATTGCAAAGATAATGGCTAATAAATAAATAATTAACTACTTAATCATTATAACATGGAAAAATGGTGCTTATGCCCTGGAACATGAGTTATAGTAAAGAAGCATGCTAAACAGCGAATACTGTTCAGGCTGCTGATGATGGTGTTATATTGTATCACTTTTATTTTGTTTTCTAGATAGATATGTACTCTAGTTGCTATAATTCTCGTACTTTCACATAATTTTGAGTATTCATATTTTCTAGGTGACTTAAAATTTATTGCCAACCATGTAAAGGGTGGTGGTCATGCACTAAAATTGATTCCACAAATTCTACTTTTTATCATTTTCCATTCACCAAACATTTCATAATGGTAAATAATTTTTTTTTAAATATTTGAATAAACATTTGCTTTTTCTTATATTCAGGTATGTTGACATGATTGCCAATCCCGAGGTTGCTAGTATTTTTAGAATGAGAGCAGAGGTACTAAAAGCTAAAATATTCTTATTTTACCATTATTGTTGTTAACTGCAGTTGATTGACTTGCAAATCTATTCTGAGTTACTTTTGTGTCCATTGTTTGATCATAACTGCAACAGAAAGAGGTAGAAACGATGAAGACAGTTGTGGGAGTATGAAGATTTCATTTTTTTCTTGAAAATCTAGTGATTTTGCATATCTTAAGATCTAGTGTTTTATAATGTATATTTTGGATGAGATACACAAAGGTTCACACTAAAATAAAACTTTACAGTCAACCAGCTAACCGAGTTTAGTTTCCTTTATGTGAAATCATAAAACATGTAAAACTCACTTCAAAAAATAATGTAAACATCATCAAAAATTAAAAATTTTCAATAAATTTGAGGACATATTGAAACTTCAAAAAAGTTATAATTCACATCACAAACGGGCAATTAAAATATAACTGACTTGTTAAAACCTTAATATGATGCTCATCTCCTCCCTTGGTCTTTCTTTCTTGTAGCCGCTCTCCTGTGATTCTCCCCTTGTACAAACCCCCTGTTTTCCTGTTCTCTCAGCAGCCAATGCTTCCCTTTTGTCGCCTTCATCTCCATCTGGCTTCTTTCTCTCCCATTTACAAGCAGCTCTACCCACAAAACCTTTTCATTTTCTTCTATCCATAGCTCCATAAACTCGTCAAAACTCTCCATTGTGTCTTGAACTTTAACTACATAAATTACACCACATTTCACCATGCCATTTATTTATGTGCTTCTCATAATCTTTTGTGTAACAAAAATTAAGCCATGCTCTATGAGATACATTGAATCACATTTTGTAGCCTTCTAGACATGATAACATCCACCAAAACATGAAGAGATGCCAGTTTATGATCTCACCCCTTAGTATATTTGGCCACCTTATAATGGCTTCATCATTTTGATTTTCAGTAATGTGCATCAACTCCCCCATTGGCCTAATACAAAGCTCAATTTGTCGAAATTGCGTGGTGGTATATATATCTATTATTGATGAAATTAAAGCTAGATATATAGATATCATGGGGCTAGCAACCTGTTTAATTTATCCCCATCTGATGCTCAACAAAATACTCTAAAGGTGAACCAATACATAAGGTAAATGGTCTTAGAGCTTCACTGATTTAAATAATAATAGTAGTTGTTCTCATTGCCATTGAAGCAGCTCAATTACTTGCAACCACATGGCGTTTACCATGTGCACTACTTGGTTTAGTCAAAAGGTTCTAATAGACATTGTAATTACAAAAAAGACATTTATGGAACTTTCAAAACTACAAAAATGCACATGTTCAACAATTTCAAATGGCATAAAGCCTATAACAACAATTTCTTTTTTGAAAATTTACATACATAACCACGCGATTATTATGTATGTACATACTTAACACCTAAAGTGTGATATTTACTTTTATAATATTTTGATGTCATACACCTATACATAAAAAAAAAAGGTGTATTTCACTTTCAAAAAATTAGTAATCGTGATATTTTTAATATAATTTTAAAAATTTGAGTGCTATGTATGTAAGTATGAAAGTATAGGTGTTAGATATGTTAATTCATAAGAATTATGTTGTATACATGTAAATGCCTCTCTTTTTTGTTGAAGTCTCACTGGTAAAAAAAAACTAAAATCAATTTGGTATTATTTGGTATATTTGTTGTTTGAAAAAACATTTGAGAAGGCATTGTTTGAAATTGTGGTTTTAAAGTTACTATTAAAAACCATTGATTTTTATTTGGAAGATTAGTTGAACCGATGTTTATAACTCAGAAATTATCTTTGTTTATTTGGCTCTAGCATTTTATATGCCATAAAATATTATAAGACCAAAATACTCATAAGTGAAATCTAGTTCCAGATTTGGATGATGTGTTTTGTGACTACATGAATCCTTTTTCTCCATTGCATCCTACTGAGTGTCTGTTGACCTCGCTTTCGGTCGAGGTGTAGTTTTCCCCTCCTTAGTAGCCTAGGATCTAGCCGTAGGACCTTTCAGTCGACTACTCCTAGAAAACTAGTGAATGAGTCATTCCCGTTAGCAATTCTGAACTTTTCTTCGCTCGACTTGACGTTCCATATAGTAGTCTTGACCGCTATTGCTTAGCAGATAAGGCTACTCCGAAGGAACTCATGGAGCATTTCTATATGACTGCCGGTCTTAGGATTGACTTTACTCGTTGATTTGGCGCCGCTGCGCTCTTCGCCGTCCCGTTTAATCGAATTCGAGCCGAAATTTTGGTAGGATTTGGGCCGCGACGCGTTTTTTAGCCTGATCGACGACGAGGTTGCCCGGACGACTCCGGATGACGAAACGGACTGCGCCGATGCGTCCGGAACATCGATTTTGCCTAGGGGGACGTTCGTTTCATTGCGACGACGCGTCTTGGGGAAAATACCTATTTAAGTGTT